ACAGTTAGGGCGGCTAGGAGCTGGAACCAACTTCCAAGGGAAGTGGTGCTGGCCCCTACCCTGGGGGTCTTTAAGAAGAGGCTGGATGCCTACCTGGCTGGACTCATTTGAGTCCCGTTTCTCTTTTTGGGGTTTTTTTGTTGTTCTCCCGCCCTGGCGGGGGGGTCGGGCTAGAAGATCTACTAGGTCCCTTCCGACCCGTAATCTATGAATCTATTTTTCACCAATTACTTTCCAGTAAATAATAATTTAGACAGTTTTGAAATTCCTTCAGTACCTAACTGGAACCCATTCTCCACCCATATCATCATCAGTGCACTCTGACTATATTCTTGTTCAGACTCCCACCATTTCTGCAAGGATTTAGCAATAGTACCAGAGCAAATAACTCACTAAAGGCACTGGTCTGATCCAAAAAGCTAAGCTCCAAATGCAAGCTTCCCCAAAGGTAAAGATATATAGATCCAGTCCATTATGGACTTGAGATTCAAATGCAAAGCCTGATCTGAATCTATGCTTCTCCAGTTATAGAGCTGGAGCCAGCTGTGAAGGCTTGCTGTTGATCCCAGAACTATTCCAAATGTCAGGGTTCCTTAGTACAGGGTCTACCCCCAGATGCATGCAGATGGTTTTACAATTGAACTTCTACTTTTCAACCAGATTTGTACAAAGACATCCAGTTCTAGATGACTAACCCACTGAAAGCAAGTAGAGAATTGTTATTGGCACCCTTCTGCTCAATTCAGATTACTGATTCACCCATATAGGCATTTTGTATGTAAAATATAAATATAGATGTGCAATGCTTACAGCATGGGTATGACCAAGCCACTAGCAACAGCAGAACCTGCAGTCCAGCAGGAGAGAAGGAAATAAAATGCCACAGCTGTGAAGAGAGAGGTGTATCCAAACTCTTCATGAGTCCCACGTCTGAACAGGTACGCAATTCCTCTCCTCCCATTCTCAGCTAGGAGTGCAGCAGCTTCAAAGGAAACAAAAACAAAAAAAAGGAGGGAGAGTGCTCACCATATTAAATAGATACTCATTGTAACAGTTCTTATATCTTTCAGTCTCAAATCAAGACTGAATAAGGTTCATGCTGGTCCATGTGCATCAAGGAAATGAGGCCTGTTTGTATTTTCAGTCTGAAATCTGTGTTCTTTCCTTTTAGCTCAATGGTGCTCAACCTGTTTCTTTGGCAGGCCAGATCGGCAGTGCCCAGTCCTTCCGTGGGCTATATCTGGCCAGTAGACCCAATCCAGCGCTCAGGGAAGGTGCAGCAGGGCCCCATGCAGCTATATGGGGGAGGGCCAGGGGTGGTAGGGGGCAGCCCAGATCCAATCCAGGCACATGGGGGAAGGGAGGTTGTCATGGCCACAAACCAGCCCTGTGGGGTGGGGCGTGGGGAAGGGGGGCCACAAACCAGCCCTGTGGGGTGGGGGGGGTGAGGAAGGGGGGCCACAAACCATTCCTGGCACCGACTTGGCTGAGTGGAGGGAAGCTCCACTTTGCCAGCTCCACAGGCAGAAGGGGGGTGGCCTAGGTGCATAGAGCAAAGGGGGTGTGGCTCAGCCCCAATCCAGCCATGTGGGGGGAGGGTTGTGATCCTGCTCAACCCCGCCCCACGGGGCTTTGGATTTTGGCAGCAGGGAAGGGTAGCAGTATTCACTGCCACTGCTCTCCCGCCGCTAAATTTCCCTGACCCACGAGGACCCTTGCAGGCCAGCTTCCAAGGCTCCACAGGCTGCATTTGGCCTGGTTGAACACCCCTATTTTAGCTAATGTAAATAAAGGGAAACAGAAGCCATTTAGGCAAAGAAAATGAACGTCTTGACTTCTCCCTTTATTAATTTTTCAGACAAGCTTTCTTTTCCCCTCATCAAAAGTATAATTCACAAACTTCTCAACACAGTTTAAAAGGGGGACTTCGTTCTCCTCACGTCCCTGGGGAGGGAAACAATAAATCCCTGTTGAAGGAAACATGTATTATAGCTAGCTAAAGATGTTTGGAGACCAAATCAAATTATATAAAAACAATTTATTCCTAGGTCCTATTCAGTACACTTTTCCTTACCTTGGTTAAAAGTTTGATTGTAATATTTGACTCCATCTGGCCCAATCCATGGTGTGGCAGGTGTACAAGTATATTCTGCAATTTCCCTCTTGAATTGTTTTGTGCTTAAAAATTAGAGAATTAAATAAAATAGTTATTATTAAATAATTCTTAATTCAGCATGCTTTTATTCTCATTATGCTTGATGAAGGAATAGTGTAATGAATAGCATAATGAAGTTAGGACATGTTCCAATAAAGTTACATTCATTTTTACTTTGATCTTAAACTGAAAAATATAGCTCTAGCCTCTTATCATATTAGTAAAACATCTTGTTTACTTTTTACCCAGAGAAAACTGTAATGTTGTGTTATATGTGATGTTGCAGCACACCACCTGCACCCTTCTTTTCAAAATCCTAGATCCTCCTATGTTTACAGCCATGGATATCTCCCAAAATGTATTCTTTCCTGTATCCTCTTGTTGACCCAATCCAATTTTGATTAAGATTAGAACTTAATTTATTAGCAGTTATGGTCTGCTGCATCATTTTCTACTACTGAAAAGCTACATTTACAAAATTAAAGGATTAAGCGTTTCACTCCCCAATGCTAGAAAAAAGAAAGTTCTATTAAAAAAAAAAATCCAGTGCCCCAACTAGTCATGATAGCTTCCATATAGCAGGGAAGCATTATTGTAGCTCTGTAAAATATCACCAAACCAAATTGTTCTTAACAGGTATTTCTGCATGTAAGTATAAATCACTGGTGTCCCAAGACTCAAGAGATGTGTGCATTAGGTTTTTTTTCTGTGCAGAGAAGAGAAAAGACACATGCACCTCATGGTGACAAGTGTTTTAAGATTAAAAAACTTCTAACCAATAGAATGCGTCCTAGCAGGACACACATCACCTCCTTTGTATGTAACACTACCTCATGGAAAATCCTCAAAATGATTGCAACCCATACTAAAAGACGACCCCATTCTTAAAGATACTTTTTCAAATAGACCACCCACTTAGCCTTTAAACAAGTGCCAAACCTTGCTAACCTCATCACCAGAAGCAAACTCCCTATGACCTAAACTATACCCAAAGGATCCAGACCATGCCAGGACAAGAAATGCAAAACCTGCCAACATATCTCCACCATCCCCACAATAAATACACCCCACAACAGAACCATCACCATTCCTGGATCCTATACCTGCACCTCCAGAAATGCAATACATCTCATCCAGTGCACCAAATGCCCCGATGGAAAATATGTAGGAGAAACCAAACAACAACTGCACCAGAACAAGTCAGCAGGCCTGGATGAACTTCACCCAAGGGTGCTGAAGGAACTGGCCAGTGTCATAGCAAAGCCACTGGTACAGCTGCTTGAGCACTCAGGTCAGGTCCCACAGGACTGGAAAAGGGCCAATGTGGTTCCTATTTTCAAGAAGGGGAGGAAGGAGGATCCGGATAATTATAGGCTGGTTCATCTCATCTCTATCTTTGGAAAACCTCTGAAAAAATTATCAAGGATCACATCTATAGGAGCCCAGCAGGAAAAATAATGCTGAAGGGCAACCCGCATGGGTTCATAGCAGGTAGATCCTGCCTGACTAACCTTGTTTCTTTTTATGACCAGGTCACAAAATGCTTAGATGCAGGAGTCGAAGTAGATGTCATCTACTGGGATTTTAAGAAGGCCTTCAATACAGTATCTCCTCCTATTCTCATAAACAAACTAAGCAGCTGTGACATAGACAATTACACGGTCAGGTGGGTGGCAAATTGGCTTAAGGGTTGCACCCAAAGAGTGGTGGTGGATGGATCGGTATCAACCTGGTAAGATGTGGGCAGTGAGGTCCCCCAGGTCTTGGTCCTTGGACCTGTGCTATTCCATGTCTTAATCAGTGACTTAGATGAGAACATGCAGAGCACTCTGCCCAAATTCATGGATGACATGATATTATGGGACAAAGTTAACATGCTAGTGGGAAGGGATCAAATCCAGGCAGACCCAGACAGGTTGGAAAAGTGGGCAGAAAAGAATAGGATGCAGTTCAACAAAGACAAGTACAAAGTGCTGTATCTAGGGAGAAGGAATCACCAGCACGCCTATAGGCTAGGGGATGACCTCAGCAGCACAGCGGGAGAAAGGGATCTCAGAGTGATAACTGACTCCAAGATGAATATGAGCCATCAATGTGATGAAGCAATCAGTAAAGCTAACCATACTTTATCATGCATTAGAATCCAGGGAAGCGATACTTCGTGCTTATGTGGCAATGGTCAGGCTGCAGTTGGAGTATTGCATCCAGTTCTGGGTGCCACACTTCAAGAGGGATGTGGATAACCTTGAGAGGGTCCAAAGGAGGGCCACTCATATGGTTAGGGGCCTGCAGGTAAGACCCTATGAGGAGAGACTGAGGGACCTGGAAATCTTCAGCCTCCACAAGAGAAGGCTGAAAGGGGATCTTCTGGCCATTTACAAATTCATCCGGGGAGGGGGTAGAAATAGGAGATACTCTGTTTACCAGGGTACCCTTTGGAATAACCAGGAACAATGGCCACAAACTGACAAATACTTTTAGCTTCTCTCATTCCTTGGAGTCTCAGACCAGCAGAGATTCCCTATGCCTGATGAAAGGTGACTGCTCCCGAAAGCTTGCCAAGAACTTTTTTCCAACTACTCAGTTGGTCTAATAAAAGATATTACATCTAAACAAAGAACACTACCCCATGTACACTCTTCCTTTGTCTTTGGATAATACCCAGCACATTTTTTGGTACCACCAATCCCTGCCCACAAATCCAAAGGACGATGAAACACATCAAGGTTCCAGTTAACATCCAATCAAAGATAACATCCAATCAAAGATAATTTCTTACCTATTTAACAGATTTAAGAAAAAGCTTGCCACATTCCTAACTGAAATAGATGAGTTCAAAAAGTTGTTTGTAGACCAAGCCTGTTAGGGTAAAATGCATGAAAGGAAAGGACTGGAAAACAATTCTTGCCTACCCCCACATAAATGGAGGAAAAAGGTAAAGGCACAAAGTAGTTAAAGCATATCATCATAGCTCCATGGGTATGAATCTGAAGCCTCAATCCAGACTTGTGCCAATGGCCACCCTCTATAGACCCTGCTGCAAATTGGCACATTTTCATTCAGGCTACACTGGTACCAGGTCAGACTTGTCTGGATGCAATGCTGGCCATATTCTTCTCTTGTGTGCATGTGACTCCAAAATGGTATGCCTATGACCCAACTCAACAGGGTTATCTCTCTCCTGCTAGAGCAGTGGTGCTCAACCTTTTTATCTGGTGGCCCAGATGAAAAGTGGGTCCTTCCGTGGGCTGGATACAGCCAGTGGACCCAGTCCAGTGCCCAGGGTGAGCATGGCAGGGCCTCAGCCACACAGAGGGAGGCGAGGGGAAGCCCGGCCCTGATCTAGCCACGCAGGGGAAAGAAGCTGAGCACAGTCCCAACCTGGCCCTCCAGGGGGGAAAAGAGGCATGACCCAGCCCTGATTCAGCCCCACAGGGCAAGGGAGCATGGCCTGTCTCCACAAGAGAAAGGAGGACTGCCTCGGCCCCAGCCTGGCCAGGTGCGGGGGGAGTGGGGGGGGGGAAATCATGGACCAGCCCCATGGGAGGGAAGTCAGGCAGCGGCACTGGGGAACATGGGGCCCCTTCCGGATAGGTTTGGCAATCTGGTGATTGTGGCAAATGAAAAAGCTGACCTCTTTAATGAATTCTTTGCCTCCATATTCCTGAACAGGGACCGGGACATCTCCCCCACTAGAATTGCAGACAAACCCAGGGGATGCAGTGTCATGTCTAGGGTCAGGGACAACCTAGTTAGGGAACTTTTGGAGGAGCTTGATGCATTTAAATCAGTAGATCCAGATGTTCTTCACCCAAGGTGC